GGAGCCGCGCGGCGCCCGCCACTGGCCCAAAGCACTGGCAACCCCCGCGTGAGTAGCGCGTGTTCTCCCGCATGAAAAGAAACGAAAAAAAGATCCAGGCCTGCGCCCCTCCTAGCGGAGCACAGTTCCGTAAACGCCACACGCACGAACAGCTAGCTGGCGCCGCCGAGCGAGCCGATGACCGACCCACGTGGACTGCTAGGGTTAGGGTTGAACTCGGCCGTTCCGCTCGAACTCGAACACTAGAATCAGCATTCTGCTTACCCCGACGTCACTCGCGTCCGCCCCTACGCGCACAGCACACAGACACCATGGTCCGCTCCATCATCCTCGCCCTCGCGCTCCCCGCCACCAACGCGTTCGTCCCGGGGACCAAGATCAGCCCCCGCCTCGAGCGGATGAAGATCAAGAGCGAACTGTACGCGCCGGCCGCGGCGGGCACGATGCCGACCTCCCAGTCGACGCCCGGCTCGGTGGGCCTCTCGAATCTCCCCAAGCCCGGCCAGGGCGCCGAGTCGACGATCCTCGTGCAGGGCGGCTCGCTCCGCACGTGGTCCTACCGCTCGCCGCTCGTCGACCAGGTCCAGGTCGTGCTCTCGACGGAGGGCCGCCCCCTGGACGCGGACCTCGAGCTCTGGCACGGCCCGGACAACACGCCGTGCAAGATGCGCGTGTACGTCGAGAACGGCCAGCTCCGCCCCTTCAGCGCCGTGATCGCGACGCCCCGCGGCCCCAACACCGTCGCCATCCGTAACATCGGCCAGATCGAGTTCCCCATCGCCGCCGACGTCTACGCCAACGACGTGGAGAACCCCTCCGCCGAGACCGTCAGCTCAGCCACGACCATCCAGGGCGGTGCGCTCCGCACGTACCCGTTCGACCCGCTCGTCAACTCGGTCGAGGTCCTCCTCCGCACGGATGGCCGGCCGCTCAACGCGCGCATCGAGCTCCTCCAGGGCCCGAACAACAACAAGCAGGTCATCGAGCTGTACACGGAGGACGGCCTGGACCGCCCCTTCTTCGCCATCCTCGAGACGCCCGGCTCGGGCAACGTCGTGCGCATCGTCAACACGGCGCCCGTCGAGTTCCCCATGACGGCGGCGGTCGTCCCCCACTCCATCGACGACAAGATGGCGTCGGGCGCCTTCGACGGCGACGTCGTCATCGGCGGCGACATCGGCTGGTGAAAAACTTGAGTCTACGAAACATTCCCACCCCCCACGCCTCGCGCGCCGCGGCGGCCACGCCGTGGCGGCCGAAGCACCAAGCATCTACAAGCATCCCATCTCTCGCCCTCTTCCCTCTCGTCGACTTTTGTAAGCCATGTCCCAGCATGTCCCGATTTCGAAGGGCATGTGCTTCTTGGCGTGCCGCGCCTCGTCCGGGTCGGCCCGGGGCGCCTCGTAGTCGCCGTCGCCCTGCTTCTCCTCCTCATCGTCGCTCGACGGGTCGCTGCCGCCCTCGCGCCGCGCCCGGAAGACTCGGACGTGCCCGTGTCGCAGCGGCTGCGGGGCTCCGAGCCTCTGAGGACGGTCCGCCCGGCGCGTTTACAGTGCACCGATCAAAACTCAGATTCTGATAGCCTGGATTTTTTTTTCGCGCGCGGTCGACGCACAGCCTCTACGGAGGACTAATGAATCCGGGCCCAAAATGATCGATTGATATTAATTAATTAATCTAGGCGCGCCTAGATGTACGTTGATCGGGGCACTGCGCGTTTACTGCCAGTGGCGGCCGCGGCGTTCAAGTTCCGGGGCTCAGCCTCCCGGGCGTGCTTCATGGCAGCGTAGGCGGCCGTTTCGGGCGCCACCCCACCACCACCACCACTACCCGACCCGCGCCCAGACCGCCGTTTGCCCGGATGAATTCGAAGTACTTAAGTACAGCCATTGAAGTAGGCGTTGTCGTGCATCGTGCACTAAGATCCTCGTCATCCGAGCTCGACACACGCACCGACTCGCAGTTGCACCACTTTCCGTCACAAGACGCACTCCGACACACGACAAGCACCATGGTCCGCTCCATCACCCTCGCCCTCGCGCTCGCCGCCACCGATGGGTTCGTCCCGGGAGCCAAGCAGAGCATGCGCGTCGCGCGCACGCCCATGAAGATGGTCGAGTCCACGACCATGCCCTACAGCACGCCCACCGGCCAGTCCTCGTCCGGCCCGCTGGGCCTCGGGGGGTCCCCCAAGAACGCCCCGGGCGCCGAGTCGACGATCCTCGTGCAGGGCGGCTCGCTCCGCACGTGGTCCTACCGCTCGCCCCTCGTCGACCAGGTCCAGGTCGTGCTCTCGACGGAGGGCCGCCCCCTGGACGCGGACCTCGAGCTCTGGCACGGCCCGGACAACACGCCGTGCAAGATGCGCGTGTACGTCGAGAACGGCCAGCTCCGCCCCTTCAGCGCCGTGATCGCGACGCCGCGCGGCCCCAACACGGTCGCCATCCGTAACATCGGCCAGCTCGAGTTCCCCATCGCCGCCGACGTCTACGCCAACGACGTGGAGAACCCCTCCGCCGAGACCGTCAGCTCGGCCACGACCATCCAGGGCGGCGCGCTCCGCACGTACCCGTTCGACCCCCTCGTCAACTCGGTCGAGGTCCTCCTCCGCACGGACGGCCGGCCGCTCAACGCGCGCATCGAGCTCCTCCAGGGCCCGAACAACAACAAGCAGGTCATCGAGCTGTACACGGAGGACGGCCTGGACCGCCCCTTCTTCGCCATCCTCGAGACGCCCGGCTCGGGCAACGTCGTGCGCATCGTCAACACGGCGCCCGTCGAGTTCCCCATGACGGCGGCGGTCGTCCCCCACTCCATCGACGACAAGATGGCGTCGGGCGCCTTCGACGGCGACGTCGTCATCGGCGGCGACATCGGCTGGTAGAACACCTGAGCCCACGTTCCCACGCACCCCCAACGCATCGCGCGCCGCGGCGGCCACGCCGCGGCGACCGAAGCACCAAGCATCCCACCTCGCCCCTCCCTCTCGTCGACTTCTGTAAGCCATTCCAAATTTCGACGAAGGGCATGTGCTTCTTGGTGTGCCGTGCTAGAGTGCCGCGCCTCGTCCGGGTCGGCCCGGGACGCCTCGTAGTCGCCGTCGCCCTGCTTCTCCTGCCCATCGTCGCTCGACGGGTCGCTGCCCCTCTCGCGCCGCGCCCGGAAGACGTGCCCGTGTCGCAGCGGCTGCGGGGTTCCGAGCCTCTGAGCCTGAGTCCGCCGGCGCGGGCGCGTTAACTGGCCGTGCGGCGTTCCGGGGCTCAGGCTGCCGGGTGTGCTTCATGGCAGCGTAGTTGCCGTTTCGGGCGCCACCCCACCACCACTACTACCCCCGTGGCGCCCGAGAGTTCGCGTCCACTTTGCGTCGGCGACGGAGTCTTTGCGAGTGGGCCGAATGCCAGCCGCTTGGCGGGAGCCGCGCGTCACGCTCCAGACCCATGTGAAGCAGCCTCCGCGTGAGTCGCGCGCGTTCTCCTGCATGAGAACACACGCACCACGAGATCCGGGCCTGCACCCCTTTTAGCACGAGCACAACCCCGCAACCGCCACACGCACGAACAGCTAGCTGGCGCCGCCGAGCGAGCGAGCCGGTGACCGACCCACGTGGATCACTAGGGCTCGGGTTGAAGTAGGCCGCTAGCCCAGGCCAAACACACTGTTCGAGTTTTGCGAACCCGGAAGTACGATTCTGCTACCGACGTCACTCGCGTCCGCCCCTACGCGCACAGCACACAGACACCATGGTCCGCTCCATCATCCTCGCCCTCGCGCTCCCCGCCACCAACGCGTTCGTCCCGGGGACCAAGATCAGCCCCCGCCTCGAGCGGATGAAGATCAAGAGTGCCCAGACCGCCGTTTGCCCGGATGAATTCGAAGTACAGCCATTGAAGTAGGCGTTGTCGTGCATCGTGCACTAAGATCCTCGTCATCCGAGCTCGACACACGCACCGACTCGCAGTTGCACCACTTTCCGTCACAAGACGCACTCCGACACACGACAAGCACCATGGTCCGCTCCATCACCCTCGCCCTCGCGCTCGCCGCCACCGATGGGTTCGTCCCGGGAGCCAAGCAGAGCATGCGCGTCGCGCGCACGCCCATGAAGATGGTCGAGTCCACGACCATGCCCTACAGCACGCCCACCGGCCAGTCCTCGTCCGGCCCGCTGGGCCTCGGGGGGTCCCCCAAGAACGCCCCGGGCGCCGAGTCGACGATCCTCGTGCAGGGCGGCTCGCTCCGCACGTGGTCCTACCGCTCGCCGCTCGTCGACCAGGTCCAGGTCGTGCTCTCGACGGAGGGCCGCCCCCTGGACGCGGACCTCGAGCTCTGGCACGGCCCGGACAACACGCCGTGCAAGATGCGCGTGTACGTCGAGAACGGCCAGCTCCGCCCCTTCAGCGCCGTGATCGCGACGCCCCGCGGCCCCAACACGGTCGCCATCCGCAACATCGGCCAGCTCGAGTTCCCCATCGCCGCTGACGTCTACGCCAACGACGTGGAGAACCCCTCCGCCGAGACCGTCAGCTCGGCCACGACCATCCAGGGCGGCGCGCTCCGCACGTACCCGTTCGACCCCCTCGTCAACTCGGTCGAGGTCCTCCTCCGCACGGACGGCCGGCCGCTCAACGCGCGCATCGAGCTCCTCCAGGGCCCGAACAACAACAAGCAGGTCATCGAGCTGTACACGGAGGACGGTCTTGACCGCCCCTTCTTCGCCATCCTCGAGACGCCCGGCTCGGGCAACGTCGTGCGCATCGTCAACACGGCGCCCGTCGAGTTCCCCATGACGGCGGCCGTCGTCCCCCACTCCATCGACGACAAGATGGCGTCTGGCGCCTTCGACGGCGACGTCGTCATCGGCGGCGACATCGGCTGGTAGAACACCTGAGCCTACGCACGGACGGTCGCAGCGGCCACGGACAAAGCATGCCGCATCGCCCCCTTCCCCATAAAGACCCTTCTCTCTCTTACCTCTGCTTTGCCCATGGCCAAGACGCGCGGCCCCGCGAGCGCGGTGTGTATAGACTGTGCCCAAAGGCGTTGTACACATGTGGCGATCGTAGTTAAAGAGCCGTGGCACATCCCCACCGCGCATATTGTCTACGTGCAGCGTGTCTGGCGTCGCAGCGGCGCGCCGCACGCAAGACACACGAGGATATGGACACGGACGACAGCGCCGCGGCCGCACCATCGTGCCCGGCTCCGGCACCGCGGGACGGCGCCCGGCGCGGGCCCGGCGCGCTCCGGGGACGACGCCGCCACACTCTGATGATGAACGGCACGCCGGGCACGCGGCCGGAGACGTCCGGGCACGCGAGCACGCGGGCCTGCAAGCGGGCACGCCGCCCAGGGACGCGGGCACGGGGCCGAGACGCGGCCGGGGACGCGCGGGCGCACGCGGCCGGGACGCCACCAAAAACGCGGTCACCGCTGCCGGGCACGCCCGGCGCGCGGCCCCGGGCACGGATTGGGCACGGGCCGGGGAGGCGGCCGGGGACCGCGGCGCGCGGCGCGCGGCGGACCCCCGGCCCGCTAGGTGACGTCAGACCCCCCCCCGAAGCGCTGAAAGTTGAAGAACCGAACGAACGCACTACGACGCACTAGACATCATGGTCCGCGGTCTCACTCTCGCCCTCGCGCTCGCCGCCACCGATGGGTTCGCTCCGGCGACCAAGAGCATCCAGCGCGTCGCGCCGGTGAACATGGAGACGTTGTCCACGTCGACGGGGACCGCGTCCATGCCGATGGGCGCCCCCAAGAACGCCCCGGGCGCCGAGTCGACGATCCTCGTGCAGGGCGGCTCGCTCCGCACCTGGTCCTACCGCTCGCCCCTCGTCGACCAGGTCCAGGTCGTGCTCTCGACGGAGGGCCGCCCCCTGGACGCGGACCTCGAGCTCTGGCACGGCCCGGACAACACGCCGTGCAAGATGCGCGTGTACGTTGAGAACGGCCAGCTCCGCCCCTTCAGCGCCGTGATCGCGACGCCCCGCGGCCCCAACACGGTCGCCATCCGCAACATCGGCCAGCTCGAGTTCCCCATCGCCGCCGACGTCTACGCCAACGACGTCGAGAACCCCTCCGCCGAGACCGTCAGCTCGGCCACGACCATCCAGGGCGGTGCGCTCCGCACGTACCCGTTCGACCCCCTCGTCAACTCCGTCGAGGTCCTCCTCCGCACGGATGGCCGGCCCCTCAACGCGCGCATCGAGCTCCTCCAGGGCCCGAACAACAACAAGCAGGTCATCGAGCTGTACACGGAGGACGGCCTTGACCGCCCCTTCTTCGCCATCCTCGAGACGCCCGGCTCGGGCAACGTCGTGCGCATCGTCAACACGGCGCCCGTCGAGTTCCCCATGACGGCGGCCGTCGTCCCCCACTCCATCGACGACAAGATGGCGTCGGGCGCCTTCGACGGCGACGTCGTCATCGGCGGCGACATCGGCTGGTGAAACACCTGAGCCGACCCCCCTACGCTGCGGAGGCCAGAAGCCCCAAGCACCCCACCTAAGCCCCCTTCCCTCCTCGTTGCCTACAGCTAGTCGACGCCCCGCGGCGCTCCGCCGGCGCGCGGGAAGTGCGACTCTCCCCTACACTTTAACGTCACAGCGGCGTGAACCCCCGGTCGAGCCCGCGGTGGTAGCCGCGCTCCGGCGCGACGTCGCCGGCGAGGAGCTCGCGGAGGCGCCGCCGCAGGTCCCCGGCGGGGCGCCGCCGGCCCTCGAAGCCGCGCGCGGCGCTCGACGCCAAGAGGCCGACGACGAGCGCGCTCGCCCAGCGCCGCCGCCGCGGCGGCTCGCGCGCCGTCGGCGGCGGCGGCGGCGGCGCCGGCGGCCGGGCCGCGGCGGCGCGCGCGCCGCGCCGCTCGAGGAGGAGCGCGACGGTGAGGCAGCCCGGCCGCGACAGCGGGTTCCGCGCGGCGACGTCGAGGGGCGCGAGGCCCGCGCCGGGCCCCGCGTCGGGCGCCGCGGCCGCGTCGGCGCCGCGGTCCAGCAGCCGCCGCGCGCACGCCGCGCGGCCGTACCTACGGACGCGATGAAAAGAACGGCCGCGCGGATCGCGCGCGCGGCGCGCCAGGCCGCCTTCCACAGGCTCGTCTGGCCGTGCGCGTCGCGCGCGTCGACGGCCGCGCCCGCGTCGAGGAGCAGGTCCACGATGGCAGCGGCGTGCACGCTCCGACGTCGGGCCCGTCGACGAGGGACCGGTCCCGGGGGCCGTCGTCGCGGTGCTCCAGCAGAAACTTTGCGACGTCGACGTCGCCGCGCGTCGCCGCGGCGTGGAGCGCGGACCAGCCGCTGGACGCGTCGACGAAGCGCTGCGACGCGCCGTTTCGCGAGAGCGCGGCGAGTTCGCCCACATCCCGCCGCGCGGCGGCGAGGAAGAGGCGCCGCGCCGCGCTCGCGCTCCGCGCGTGCCCGCGGAACTCGGCGAGGGTCGCGGGCGACGCGTCGCCCGCCCAGCCGCGGAGCGCGCGCCAGCGCGCGAGGAGCCAGCCGTCGTCGACGGCGGCGCGCCAGCGCGCCGAGACGCAGCCCAGCGGCGCCGTGTCGCCGAGGGGCACGCAGGCGAGGAACTCGAGGAAGAGGTCGCGCGGCAGCAGCTCCATGGCGGTCACGCGCGCGAGAGCGACGCGAGGCCGAACATCGCGGGGCTGCCACACACGATGGCCATTCAAGCAAAACAGCAAGCAGCGCCAGTTTCTGTTTTGGCCGAAGCCTGGGCGACGAGCTGGAGCTGGCGGCGCGGGCTCTCGTCGCCGCGCCCCTCGCGGAAACAAGATGTCGCGGCCGGGCCGCGACTTCGACAGCGACTACGACGTCGAGGACGACGAGGAGCCGTCGTCGGCGGAGAGCGACGATTCCTACGACCCGGAGATGCCGTCGACGCCCAAGGCGCGGCGGCGGCCCGCGGCGCCGCCCCCGCGGCCGCGGAAGAAGCGGCGGCGCCGCCGCGCCGTCGCGGCGGCGTCGTCGAGCAGCGACTCCGACGACGGCGGCCCGCGGACGCTCTACTGCGCGCTCTGCCGCCGCGACGTCCACGAGGACAGCTTCTCGGCCGCCGTCAAGCGCGGCGACTACGGGAAGCACATGACGGAGCCCTTCTGCCTCGCCCACAGCGCCGGCGACCAGCGCAGATACGCGCTGCGGCCCGCGCGCGAGGACACGAGCGATAGCGACGACGACGGCGACAGCGACGGCGACGGCGTTTCCCGCGGCCTCGCCGGCGGCCGCCTCGCCGCGAATCTCCTCGCGCGCCACGGCCTCGAGAGCGACGAGGACGTCGTCATGGCCGACGGCGACGACGACGCGCTCGACCGCGCAGCACAAGAGAGCGAGATTCCCAACTTCAAAGGCTCCGATCTCGGCCATTTTCCACTCGTTTCGGCTGATTTTTGGACGAGCGATCATCTCTCGGAACGGTCTCGACGCGTGGATGTTTTTCTCGTGACGCGCGCGCGCGGAACACTCACGTTGAAGAGACGTTGAATCTCTCTTGTCCTGCCCAGGCCCTCGACCGCGCGGAGACGATCCTGGAGACGGGCCGCGGCCGGCTCCGCGGCGCGAACCGGCGCCTCCGCTTCGACGACGACGACGACGATGAGGAGGAAGAGGAGGCGGCGGCGCCCGAGGCGCCCGAGCCCGACGACGACGACGACGACGGCGGCGGCGACGAGTGCGCGATCTGCTTCGAGGCCATCACGGCGCGCGACGGCTTCACGACGGCGTGCGCGCACCAGTTCCACGCGTCGTGCGTGGCGGCCATGCGCGCGGCGGCGGCCGGCGGCGCGTCGCGCTGCCCCATGTGCCGCGCGGCGTTTCCGGCCGTCGTGTCGGACGCGCTCGACCGCGGCGCCGCGGGCGCCGCCGCGGCGGCGGAGACGCGGGGCCTCCGCGCGGGCGACGGCGTGCAGGTCCGGTGGGAGGTCGAGGGGCCCGGCGGCGCCGCGACCCTCGAGTGGTACGACGCGACGCTCGTGCGCCACCTCGGCGCGCACGGCCACGTCGGCCTCGCCGTTGCCGAGGTGCCCGAGCGGTTCCTCTCCGCGCGCGGCTTCGTCCTCGCGTACAAGGACGAGCCGGGCGAGCGCCACGTCATGCTCGCGTCCGACGGCCTCCTCTTCGACGCGGCCGAGGGCCTCTCCATGCACTGGCGCGCCACGCCCCGGCCCCGCCGCCGCCGCCGCATCGTCGCCGACGACGACGACGACGACGGCGCGTTTTGAGGAGGCCTAGACTTGCCGGGACTCGTCGTTATATATGTACTACCAGAACGGACATCGGGTGCAAAACACAGCGCCTGCTTCGGACGATTCATCGTCGCGACAGGACTTGTTCGGGCAGCCGTTGGCGAGAGTGCACCAGGAGTTTTGGCATTCCCAATATTGTCTGCAAATGCCGCAGGTCGTCGCATTGCAGATCTTGCACCGGAGACTATCTTGGACACAGTGCTCGCAAAATATGACCCGCCCGCAAGTACCGCAAGAAGAGCCCTGGAGCGGCTCGTCAAAGGCCCAAATCAGCTTTGCGATACCAGAGCGTCCGCCGAAGGCGCCTCCGTAGCGCTTGGTTGCGCTGAGGACCAAACACCGCGCGCGGTCCACACGCCCAGTATTCGGGGATGCCGCATCGCACTGGGAGCAGATCAACGCCGGATGGACGTAGAGCCTCGCGGAAAAGGAAAGCTCGTTGTAGAAATCATCGAAGTTGTAGCGGTCACGGAAGTTTGGGTTCGCAGGAGTCGACCCGCCCCACGCGAGATGGAGGACATCCTTGCCGTCGCGCGTTGCGACAGCATCCATTTCGGCAGATAGGACGGCGTGCGCGGACTGACTTTTCACTGCGACCTCGAACTCCGGCCAAGATTCATCGCGCACGCGAAGACGATGGCTCGAGTTTAACGTAAACTCGCTAGGAAGTGCGGCGCCAAGCGCACAGCGTCCATGGCCAGTCCGGGACATATACGGCCCAGACAATACCAGTTGGACTTCCATTTCCGCTCCAGATCGGTCTTTGAGACTCAGGACTTTTTTCAGAAGATGCTCGCCGCATACGAAGTCGTTCGGGTCGGAGAACGTTTGGCGCGCTATCGACTTGTCTCCGGGATCAGTCGCGCGAACCCACGAAGAGCAGGGCGGTGGACGCGGCGGTGGTTCCGGGGGCAACCCCATCGCCTTGCGCCGCTCCTCGTTCTCCTTGCGCTCCGTCTCGTTTTTATGAGCTAGCCATCGGTCATAGTGACTGTCTCGAGGTTTAAGGTAGGCCGGGCGTTGGCGCGCCCGCGATGAAGGCGTGCTCGACGAATTGTTATAGGCGGCTAATTCCGCCATCGCCGCGTGGAGCATGTGGGCGAGGCAGGGCGCGCAGGCGGCTGCCACTAGCTCGACCCGTGTCTTTGGCGATTCTCAAGAGTTTGCCAAATCCTCGCCGAGCTTGGTGCGACATGGGCAGCTTCATGGCGCGCACGGCGCCTCCCGTTGCCAAGACGACGGAGACAAGCCCTGCGTCCCTCCTCGACGATGCGACGATGCATCTCCGCCTCATCCTCGTCGTGACGGCCCTCCTGGGCATACTCGTGGAGCGCCTCCACACGTCGGTGGACGGCAAGCTCCTCAAACCCGCGAAGAAGCTCTTCTTCCTCGCCGGCGTGCTCGCCCTCGGCCTCCGCGCGACGGGCGTCGCCCTCGAGGGCGACGTCGCGCTCCTCGGAGCGGCCGCGCTCCTGGCCGTCGCCGTCGCCGTCGAGGCGTCGTGCGCTCGACGGGACGACCGGGCCCTCGACGCCCTCGCGTCCCGCCTCGTGCGCGGCGACGCGCGCATGTTCCACGCCTTCGCCGCCGCCGCGACGTCGACGCGCCGCATCAATCGCACGGTCGCCGGGGCGACGAAGGCGAGCTGGCGCGACGCGGCCGAATACTGTGTGCAAATCAAATCTTCAACCCGACTTCAATGTGCGCGTATTCGAATGTTTTGACACGATCACTTCCGCCGTGCTTCGAGAACTCGCTGAGAGCAATCGATTCGTCCAAAAATCAGCCGAATCGACTTCGATTTGACCGAGCTAGAGAATTCTGAAGTTTGGCCCCGACGTCCCAGCTCACTGGTTGATTTGCACACAGGCGGAATACGCGGCCGTCCGCGAGGAGTTCCTCGCGCGCCACGACCTCCCGGCGACGTTCGAGTTCCACGCGTACCTGGCGAAAGCGCTCCGCGCGTCCGCGGCGTCGCTCCTCGCGCCGCGCGCGGAGTCGCTCCTCGCCGTCGCGGTCGCGATGCGCTGGTTCGGCGACGGGGGCTTTCCCTCGTTCCTGCTCGTCGTCGGCCTCGTCCTCCGCGCGCTCGTCGTGAACACGACGCGCGACGTCCTGTTCCGGGCGACGACGCCCGTCGACGGGCCGCCGGGGACTTTGGGGGCGGCGCTCGAGGCGGCCCGGGCCCGCGCGGCCGGCGGCCGGCCCGCGTCCAAGAGCGTGCGCGCCGTCCTCGGCGACGACCAGCCGCGCCTCGTCGGCGGCCTCGTCAACGCCTACGTGCTCCTCGCCTGCGCCTTCGCGGCGACGACGGTGACTGTCGCGGCCGCGGGCGCTCTGGCGCTCGCCGCCTCGCTCGTCGCCGAGTCGGCGTTCCTCTCGGCGACGGCGGACGCGGACGCGGCCTTGGTCGACGGCGAGCTCGAGGCGCTCCTGGCGAAGGAGCACGCCGCGCGGTCCCTCGCGGCGTCGGTGCGCCGCGCCGTCGCGGACCGCGGCGTCGCGTCGTTGTCTCAGCTCGAGGGCGCCTGGGACTCCTTCGCCGGCGACGGCGACGGCGCGCTGTCGCCGGGGGACGCCGCGCGCTTCTTCCTCTGGCTCCACGGCCACCGCGTGCCGCGGGCGCGCCTCGCGGCGCTCCTCGACCGCGTCGCGGCCTTCGACGACCTCGCGGCGCTCCTCGAGCCCGACGCGCCGCTGCCGCGGCTCGCCGTCGCGGCGGAGCGGCCCGTCGCCTGGTGGCTCGAGAGCCCCCGGGACGCCGTCGGGCGCGTCGCCGAGGGCACGACGTGCATCCCCACGTTCCTCGCGGCAATCTCGCCGGCGAAGACGCCGAGGAGCGAGGCCCCGGGCCCGTCGCCGGCGAAGAGCGACGAGAGCGCCGAATCCACCGCGCTCCCGACGCGCGCCGAACCCGACGCCGAGTAGCGCGCCGGCGTAAAAAAGACCCTCCCCTCCTGCATGTTGAATGAAAGTTGCCCCTCCTGGAGAACAAGCTCTCACAAACGTATGGGCTCAGGCGCGTCGTTGCCACAGGAGGAGCAGACCAAGCCGCTACAATACATCAACGCGAGCGGTCGGTCGCCGGCGCACATCCCGCGCGGCTCGACCGTCGAGGGCTTCCTGCGCTCCCAGGCCAAGCTCCGCGAGCCGCGACTAGGCTTCAAAACCTTCCTCCTCTGCGCCCAGCGCCAGCTCGCGTTGCGCGGGCGCGTCGAGGACCTCGGTGAGAATGCTGCGCATGTGAAATCACGTGAGTCACAAGAAACCATCAATACTCATAGGCGACCTCTACCAGATCGTCTGGTCGTTCTTGAAACCGCTCGTCGGCGCGGCGCTCCTGCCGCCGCGGGGGCGGCGCTCCATCTGCGGCGACCGCAACGACGGCCGCTACGGCCTCGGCCGCGGGGCCTGAGCGCCGAGCCCCGAGCCGCCGCTCCGTCGACGAGACAGGATCAACCGCCGCGATGGCATCGGCGGAACCCGAGCGCCGGGCGCCGAGCCGCTTCTCCGTCGACGAGACGGCGATTGGACTCGTCCTGCCCTGGGCCGCCGGCGAAGCGGACCTCCTCGCCGTCGAGGCCGCGAACGGGACCTGGCGCGACGTCGCCCGCGGCGCGCGGCGGCGGCTCGACCTGCGCGCGGCGCGCGGCGCGCGCGGCGCGCTCGACGCGCTCGCGCGCTACGGCGCGACGCTGACGGACGTGGACCTGTCGGGCCGCGACTTCGTCGACGACGGCTTCGTCGCGGCGCTGCCGCCGCTGCCGCGCCTGCTGCGCCTCGCCGCGGACCGCTGCGAGGCGCTCACGGCCGCGTCGGCGGCGCCGCTCCTCGACCGGCGGGGCGTCGACGTCTCCCGCCGCGGGTCCTGGCGCCTCGTCGCGGCCCACCCGCGCTGGGCGCCGGAGGACGTGCTGGAAGCCCAGATCCACGCGCTCCACAACTTCGAGCGCTTCGGCGGCGCGGCCATCGCCTTCGTCTACGACCTCGCGGCGCCGCAGAACAAGGCCGCGACGGGGCCCGTGGACCGCTTCCACCGCATGATGGTGCTCTCCTACGGCATCATGCTCTCGGCGTCGCGCGTGTCGTATCGCGAGGACGCGCAGCGGACGGTCTACATCGCGGAGGTCGAGCCGGCCTGCCACCGGCGCTTCGTCGTCCGCTTCCGCAGCCGCCACCCGCCGGAGCCGCGGGACCCGGCGTTCCCGGCGCAACCCCGGGACGCGGTCTTCGACTGGCACGTCGTGCGCTGCGCGGCGGACGACGGCGAGCCGTGCTGGCTCACGGCCGCCGTCGTCGCCGCGCGCGCGACGCACGAGGCCGGGGCCGAGGTCGTCGTCTACGACGACCTCCTCCACCCGCGCGTCGGCGACGCTCGGGACTAACGTGCGTCTTACGATGAACGGCCGGCGGTCGTCGCGGCGGCCCGCAGATCGATATCGCTCATTCCTCGTCCGACTCGGAGTCCGCCCAACCCCAGGTGCCGGTCGACTTCAGAGCCGCGTCGCGAGCGGCGCGTGCTTCCGCTTGGGCGGTCTCCAGATGCCCGGGCATGATATGCGCCATGTAATTTTCGATGGACGCGCGAAGGGCCTCGTCGGTTGTCGTTTTAGCGACGTGCTCGAGGATGTCGTTCCGCGTGTAAAGTTCGCAGAGCTTGACATCTTCCGGGGCCAACGGTCCGTCACTAAAACGGTGGGCGAGACAAGAAAGGTACAAATGCGGCTTGAGCGAGTGAAACGCGAAGGAGTAGCCTGCGCGGAATAAAATTTCTCGTCCGGGTCGGCGCGAGCGCGGCACGCGCTCGAGATTCCTCGCCCGGGTCGGCGCGAGCGCGGCACGCGCCCGAGATCCCACGCCCGGTCAAGCGCACCTTTGTAAGACATCGAAACTTGTTCCATGGCGTCGAGCAGCGCGTCGTTCACTTCGGACCCCTCGAAGCTGTTTTTCTCGATGATGGAGACCTCTTCGCCCCCTCTCGCCGTCATCATCTCGAGGACGCGATCCTTGATGTGGGCGTCGCAAACCATGCGGTCGAGGAAGCCCATGGCTTAAGATGAATCAAACACGAGGCGGCTAGCAGCCTCGAGACCGAAAAATCTAAGGATGCCAAAGGCTGTGGCAAAAAAAACGACGTACTGGCGGCGAGGGACAACCTGGGGGACGTCGACACACACGAGCGAGCGGCCCGTTAGTTCCGCTAGGCCGCGGGCGCCTCCCCCCCTAGGCGAGCGGCAGGCAGGACTCGTTTTGCTAGAACGCGTTGAGCGTGGCGATGGCCCCCTCGTCCCCTTTGGCGGCCGCGCGCGCGAGCCAGCGTTTGCCTTCTAAGATGTCCTGTTTCACGCCTGAGCCTCGAATGAATGAGGTGGCGACGTAGCATTCAGCCTGAGTGAGTCCTTGGCGAGCAGCGAGCATGTAAAAGCGAAAAGCCTCCTCGTGTTTCTTCGAAACGAGCGCGAGCTTGGCACTGGCTTCCAATTTGTTCACGTTCGTGCCCTTGGAGGCGAACTCGTTGCGTATCTCGCTGTACATGGCGTCGGCATCATCATATAGTCTAGTCCCGAGGTTGCACTGGGCTATCGCGTAGCCCCGGTCCGCGGCTATGCGAAGGAGCTGCTCCCCTTTTTTCGCGTCCAGCTTGACACCGTTTCCAGCAAAGAACAAAGCAGCAAGACAAGTCATCGCCTCCGTATCGCCGAGCTCCACCGCACGCTTGTAAAGTTTCGCGGCCTTTTTTGCGGATTTCACGAGGCCGAGTTTACCTTCACGGTACATACTTCCCAAATGTGTGAGCGCGTCCGGGATCTCGGCGTCCACGTGACGACGAAGCAGAGCCAGCGCCTCCGGTTCGCCACGGGGGACCCGCGCCCGGCAGAGAGGACACGGCTTGAAGCCGATCTTGTCACTGCACGACATGCAGATCTTTCGGCAGCAACACATGCGAAGCGCGGGAGCTTTGTTCACGTCCCAGTCCTCGAAACAAATCGGGCACCGCGATCCGTCTCGCGCCGACAGCGGGGCCGGCTCGGGGTTCGCCTCGCGCCGCGCGCGAGCGGCCTCGTGTTCCGCCGCGATGCGCGCGCGGACCTCGTCGGCGTGCGACCGCGGCGCGGGGCCGTAGACGACCTCCTCCGGCGGCGGGGGCGTCGGGGCTTCCGCCCGCGCGGCCTCCGCCGCGCGCTCGTTTCGGATCTTCTTGCACGCCTTTCGGTGGCCGCGGTCGCGCCAGTCGACGCGTTGGCATTCCGTCGAACAGTACTGCGTAGTCCCACAGGGGCAGTTGAGCAAGGTCTTCGGTCTGGCGCCGCAAATCGTGCAGGTGAGCCGGAGCCGGAGCGCTTTCGCCCGAGCCTTCTTTTCCTCGTACTCGCGTTGCTTGATCTGCCAGTCCATCTCTTTCGAATCAGTCGAGTTCGTCTGTCCGTGGTCCATTATGCGCGAGAGGGCGTGTTGGAAACGGAGGCAAGGCGCGGATACTCGGCGTCGGGGCGTACGGGGGCGCGAATCTCCGCGACGAACCTGTCGTCGAGGAGCCGTGGTTTTGAAGACCTGCGGGTGCGGCCGACCGGTGCCCCCTCGAGAGAGGCTAGAGGGCCCCCAGCGCCCGCGCCCGCCCAAGGCGGCGCGCCGGCGGGCTAGCTCGTCTAATGCGCTAGAGAGAGATAGGGATTCGCAGGTCATGCCATGCCATGACGCGCACGACGAGCGAGCCAGCCAGCCCGTTACCCCCCCCCGCTAGGCCGCGGGCGCCTCCGGCGGCGGGAGCGCGCGGCGCCTCGCGAAGGTGATGCGGAAGGGCGTGAGGCTGTGGTGGTGCACCTGGCGGCCCTGGCGCTCGCAGTCGCGGCAGATGTTGTAGTCGATGCACGTCGCGCAGTGCCAGCGGACGCGCTTGACCTCGCGGGAGCAGTTGGAGCAGAGGATGGCCAAGGAGTCGGCGTGCGGGTTGTGGAGGTGGTAGAGGAGCATGATCGACGAATGCTTCGCGCGGCGCAACGTGTCGAACTGGTAGTGCCAGAACTGGCACATCTCGAGGAACGTGTGGCGCGAGTCGACGAGCGCGTTGGTCACGCGCGTGTCGGCGTCGGGGTCGTCGATGGACGAGGGGCCTTTCGGCTTCCGCGGCCGCGCGGGCGCGCCGGGCTCCGTCGGCGGCCGCTCGTCCGGTTGTAAATAGAGCACGAACTGCGAGTCCTTCATCTTGTGGACGCTCGACGCGAGCTCCGGCAGCAGGCGCGCCCGCAACGACGGCGCGGAAGGCGGCGGCGGCGGCGGCGGCGCGCCGCGGTCCGGCGCCGCGGCCGCGGCCCCGGAGAGCGGGAACTCGCGGAGGAACTTCCGCGCGTCGTCGAGCTGGCCCGCGGACTTGAGCCGCTGGAGCAGGTTCTGGAGCTTCTTCTCGAAGACGCAGCCCAGGTGCGTCGCCGCCTCGTGCACGGGGTGCGCCGGCGGGTTGTACTTCTGCGCGTTCGCGAAGGTCAGGCGCACGTCGTCGACGAGCTTTTGGGGGTTGGCGTAGGACCCGCCGCCGAGGCGCCGCTCCACGGTGCCCAGGTCCATGGGCGCCTTGACGACGTCGTGGTAGTCCGCCAGGCCCAGCGCCTCCGCGTCCACGGGCGCCATGAAGGGGTAGCTCGACGGCTGCTGCACGACGTGCTTCAATAAGTTCACGAAATGGTCGTAGACCGACACGTCGTTCTGGGACCGTAAAGAGTGGCTCCCGAACAAGCCCTTGCGCCGCTCGATGAGCGACACGAGGCGGCAGCACTCCTCGGGCCAGTAGTCGCCGTCGAAGAGCGGCGGGCAGGCCGGCGCCTCGGACGACTGCGACTCGGAGAGCGGCGGCGCCGACTTGGGCGCGGCCTTGGGGGATTTCGGGTCCGGCGGCCGCGGCGCGTCGCGGCAGGACGCCTCGTCCTTCTTCTCGTCGTCCTTCTTCGCCGGCGGCTTCTCGAGCTTGTCGACCCAGGCCGGGTTCCTCTTGCGGTCGCCGGGCTTGTGGCGGCGCCGCATCGTGTCGACGGCCGCGAGGTACTCGTCGTAGAGCGACGCGACCCGACTCACGGCGCCCGTCTCCACGGCGCGGCGCACCATGGCCCGGTACCACTCCGTGAGCCGCTCGCGGGAGGGCGTGCGCTGGTGCGTCGGGTGGCACCAGAAGATGAAGTTGTTGCCCCGCTGCGGCGGGCAGGCCCAGATGTGCGCCGCGGTAAACCCCCGCCGCCGGCTCCAGTCCAGGTAGGCCACCAAGAGCTCGTGGTAGACCTCGGTCCGCGCCGTGCGCGGCCGGAAGTACTCCACGGAATCCAGATAAGCCACGTAGACGCGTTTCGCGGACGGGCCGCACGCGTCGCCGAACTCGTGGACGTACATGGAGAAGACGCACAAATCGACGCCGTCGTTCTTCTGGAAGAGGACCACGGACCGCGACTCGAAGGGGATGGCCTCGGGCAATTCGGCGCCGCCGGGCCCGACGAAGTGCTTGCGCAGCACGCCCTGGACGCGGAGCGACTGCGGCACGCACGAGACTAAACGGACGGCGACGGACGGCGCGTGCGCCGCGGACTCACCGCCGAGCTCGACCATGCGCGCCTTCACCGCGGCTTCTAACGCTTTCGTCATCGCCGTCTCCGGCAGCGCCGCCGCGGACCACCACGACGGGTCCGGCGCCGCGGGGGAAACGTCCTCGTCCCGGGGCTTGCGCCGCCGCTTCGACGGGTCGGCCCGGGGCTTCTTCGCCGCGGGCGCCGCATCTTCCGCGCCGTCGTCGACGGGCCCGTGCCAGGACCGCCCGTCGGCGAGCTCGAGCTCGTAGGACGCGCCCGACTCGTCGTCGCCGGGCGTCCGCGTCACGACGACCAAACCGCGGCGCGGCCGCCGGTCCGACGGCCCGCCCGCGCCCGACGAGCCCGCGACGTCGCCCGCGCCGTCGCCGCCCCGCGCGCCCGGCGGCACGTCGAAGTCCGCCTCGAGCGTGAGCGAGTTCGACGTCAACGCGGCGAGCTTCAGAGGCCGCGCGGCACCGTCGTCGTCGTCGTCCGCGGCCAACGCCGACTTCTTCGGGTCCTCCCGCAGCCCCGCGCGCCGCTTCGTCGCGGCCTCGAGCTGCGCCGCGGGCACCTTGCGCCGCCGGTCGTCCTCGGGGGGGTCGAGGTGCGCGCCCTGGAGCTCGCAGAGCGGGCACACGAAGCGCTGGCCGTCGCAGCCCCGGTCCGCCTCGGCCTTCGCGTTGAAGAGCGCGCAGGTCTGGTGGACCCAGCGCCAGCAGGCGTCGCACTGGACCCAGGGCTCGGCGACGTCCTCGTCGAACTTGCGCTTGATGAGGTCGCGCTTGTACCACAGCCCCGCGGCGGCGGCGGGCTCGCCGTGGTCCGCCGGCGGAGGAATTACGGACTTGAGACCCAGGTAGCACTTGTGGCACCAGAGCCGCGACCCGTCGCGCGTCACGTGGTAGTGCTGGTCGCGGCGCACGCGCTGGCCGCAGGGGCCGCTGCAGATGAGCGCGGGCGCCTCGAACGTGAGGCACTTGTCGCCGCAGAGCACGCACTGCTTGCCCGCGCACAAGCCGCACTCGTGGTCGTGGGTCGCCTGGGACTGGCGCGCGCAGCGCTCCAGGGCGCGCTCCAGGTCCGCGTCGAAGTCGCGGCTCATGGCCACGGCCGCCGCGTGGACCGCGTTCCGCGGCGGGTTGTAGGCCGTCGCGTTCTCGAAGACGAGGCGCACCTGGGCGGCACGAGAGTGATTCAACGTCGCTTCAACGTGAGTGTTCCGCGCGCGCGCGTTCCGGAAAAAGCATCCACGCTGCGAGACCGTCCCGAGAGATGATCGCTCGTCCAAACATCAGCCGAAACGAGTGGAAAACGCCCGAGAAAGGAGCCTTTGAAGTTGGGAATGTCGCTCTCTTTTGCTGCCCCGAGGCGCACGTCTCTAGCGAACGACGACACGTCGCTGTACTGGAAGGACGCCAGCCGCGACTTGATGGTCCCCAGGTCCATGGGCTCGGCGATGAGGTCGTGGTAGTCCGGCAACCCCAAACCCTCGGCGTCGACGGGCACGTTGAACCACTGCTGGTTCAGCGGGTGGAGCATGAGGCGCTGCACGAGCTGGCGCAGGGCCCGGTGGAGCTGCTCGCAGCGCAACGACGAGAGGTGGGCGCAGAGCTCGACGGTGGAGAAGCCCTCGACGGGCGTCAGCGCCGCGCCGGGCGCGTCCCTGCCCCGGTCCGCGGCGCGCCGGCTGCTGAACCGCGGCGGGATCGACGGCTTGCGCAGCTCCGACGCGACGAGGCCCTTGTTCTCGCTCGCCGTGCCCGGCGGGTTCCGCGGGCCCGAGTCGCTGCGCCGGTGGCCCGCGGGCCGCGCGGCCGCGCCGCGGCCGCCGCCGCGCCGCGGCGGCGGCGGCGGCGGCGGCGGCGGCGGCGGGCCGCGGCGGCCGCGGGGGC